ATGTGTTGGGCTAAGCAGTGGTGGATATAAAACATTAACAGCCGATGAAGAATTTGGAGGTGTCCATTGCATCTAAAATGATATTAAATACATTTTGTTAAGGTTAAATATTTTATTAATTGTTTTCAAAATGTGTTTACCTGCGAGCATTGCATTGGCATTCCCGCATCTGTGCCATAACCATGCATAGTCATATTCATGCTTACATTGACACTCATGCTTGGATACATTGGCGGTGCGTTATTTGCATTCATGTGCTGACCACAAGGAGTTGTACCACCGGTGCCTGTTGTAACAGTAGCAACACTTGTTGGATCATAATAACATGATTGTGCTGTGGAACTGAATGCATTGCCGTGCGATGTCTGCTGACTTTGTACTGTGCCTTGCTGATGGCTATTAGGCGATATTAACATTTGGTGCGGATGTACAGTACAAGAGAGCGAAGCCTGATGTGGATTTGTTGAGAAATTATAGGAAGCACCACACGGTGAAAAGGGAAAAAGACTCGGTAATGGATCAATATCTAGTGTTGGTAGTCCCGGAAATGTCGAAGCCATTTCATCAGTTGTCCAATAGCTATTACTGCTACTGCTATTAACTATGAGATTGCCTTGAGAGTTATTTTGTGCTGATCCGAGTACACTAGTAGTCGGATCGAAACAGGAACCACAATCGAAATCGTTAGATGTTAATGAGGATATGGGTAGGACGGTACTACCTTGGCAGGATAAACAGCCGACGCAGGATGCAGCACACTCTTGCTATATTAAAGAAAAAATTTAATTTATTTTGAATTAATTAAATATTTTAATAACTAAAAATCTTGCTTAGTCAGTTATGTAAAAATATGATATTCTCATTCTCCGGTAAAAATTTATAAGGATACACATAAATTAATTTAATAGTGCTTTTATACAAAATTTTATTTCGGATTATAGTAACTTAAAGTCAAATAAATCGAGACGAGATATTTTATATTCAAACAACAACAACACAAAAGGAAATTACATTAATTAATGTGAACGTATATCAATTGAAAATAATTATAAATCAATATGAGTTCATATCGTGTGGTAATTTGAAACCACTAATTTACACAGGTATATATTTTAATTGCCTATTTTTAGGGCGAATAAAATGAAACTTACTGATGAATTTTTGTACCACCAGAAATATGCAATATATAACAAATTACTACTGAGTAAAAAGGAGTAGGAGGAAACTTTACTTAATTATGAATTTTAATTCTTATCATTAATACTATTGCATTTGTGTTTAATTTGAAGAAATTATTTATATTTTTTCATTAATGTTAATTATTATTATTAAACCAGATACACGTAATTATTAAATTTTTATTATTTAACATGTAATTTACACTTTTATTTAATTACTATTATTTGACAATACAAATATCACCTCTCTAATCTATATCTTATGTTACAATTTGTTTATTTTCCAGGAGATACCAGAAAATATTTCAATTATTCTATTTAATATAATATAACATTGATATATAACATTGAATATAACATTTTTTTCAGAATTTTTTTTTTTGTCAAATATATTGAAAAATTATATTTTTTCTTTCATATATTAAATATATATATATATTACTATTATTTCACTTATTGTGCATTTTACTTTAAGCATATACTTAATGCCTTAAAGTTAATCAAATATTAATTATTATTAATTTCCCGTATGTTTGTGATTTATTAATTTGTTGACTTCACATTTCACATCTTATTTCAAATTTATTTTAATTACTTATTAGTATCTATCACAAAATTATTCCACACTCTATAGATTTTATTTTGTTAAAGATTCGCTTAAAATACCTGTGGACTATCCAACGTCAAGCCGAATAATGGATTATTGGGAACGTATCCCGTTTCTGGTTCCACAGGACCACCATTTGAGACATCGCACGATATATACATAGCTCCACCCTCTTGATCTTCCAGGGAATCTATGTAATGATGAATAAAAGGGGAATTTTAATTAAACGCTTTTAAAAGAAAATTATTAAATATGAATACGAATTATGTAAAAAGCAACCACCTATGTTTTTCTATTAAAAACAGGGTGAGTTGACATACTTTCGAATGTACTTAATAGAAGAATGTTTTTATTTTCATAACTGTAGATAAATAAATATAACAAAAGATTATTGAATTGTGATCATACTATATTAATTAATCTTTAAGATTCATTAATTAAATTAATAAAATATAATATTTTATATACAAGTTTTTATTTTTATTATTTTATTTATTTTTACATTTAAAACATGGGTGACGATAATAAAGGAACTGCTATGTTTAGAATTGATATTTATTTGCAAAATTAAAATGTTTGTGGTATAATTGTTAATATTTCCTGAAATATATTAAACTGGTAGTTGCGATTTTTAGTCTTCAAGTCTTTAAAATATTAAATCTTCATCAAATATAAAAAAATAACGATAATTATTTTAATTTAATTTTTAATGTTATAATGAAATAAAACTAATAGAATAATTTTAGATAGTCGTGTATTACAACAACAATTATTTTTAATTAATTAATAAAAGTTTTTGCTGATTATACAGTTATTTTGAATATTACTAAATATTTATCATCACTGAGTCTTGGAAATATTTACTGGTTTTATATTCCCTAAAATTGTTCAGTCTCTTATAATTTAAGTTATTTATAATTACTTTGCTATTTTACTTTTATTGTATTATTTTATTGTATTATTATTAGTAATTTTAATTTATACTATATACTTATTTTCGTTTATAGCAAGTAACTTATCAAGACAGACGATATGAGGTCACTGTATAATGCCTACGTTTTTTTCTGTATAATCTCAAGTAAAAATTTAATAAGTATGTAATTTTAAATGATTTATGCTATTTTAAAAGCAAAATAATATTAAAAATTAATGTTTATACACTAATTCTATAACAATATGCATTATAAAGAAATTGATTTATAAATTAATTTGGTTGTTCTAATATAAAATAAACAAAAACACAAATTTTTAATATAAATTTCTAAGAATATTATATTTTTCCCATAAGAACTATTAATTTTGAACTTATAAAGAATATACATATATTCACAAGATTTAATTATTAAAATTTTGCTATAACTTATATAGCAAATTAATTAATTTAGTATTTTGCCCACTGTAGTTGTAAACTCCACCCAAAAACCACACCCTTGCACACACAGCAAACACATTACTAGGCAATATGAGTTCAAAGCAGCATCCATCTTTTTTCCTTACACACACATTTAAAATATTGCTGTTTCATGCCGCACAAAAATGGCGACAAACAAATTCCAATAATAATTTTAACAAAAGAGTCTGCATGTGAAGTAAATATTTTGACTTATTTATATTAAATAACAAATGCAAAGGTTTTTTTAATGAAAATATTGGAATACCAAGCTTTTATTCATATTTTTGACTTTATTTGTGTTACGAGTACTCCTTTGAAATTTATATATCGATATATAATTATGTATAATATAGAATAAAAACTATACACTTCTATTAAGAGACATTGAATTGATATAAAATTTAAAACTAATGTTTTCAATATAATATAATAATTATTAATTTTGTTAAACTTACCCAGAATTATTTTCAAGAGTTTGGAACCTTTATGAAGCAATCCCATGACATGACTTCTGTACCAGGACGCACTTGTTTGATTTTCTTTGTTCTATTTTTTCTACGTTTCATTTTGTGTGTATAAAGAGCACCTAAAAAATTAAATAATTTAATGTTTGAAAAATATATTCATTTAGCTTCTATTATAAAATTGTTTTGTTTTTATTTATATTAATAGAAAAAAGTATATGATACAACACAATGGAGAAATAGGTCAGTAAGTACTTTATCGATACTCTCCATTTAGATGCCGTAGTAATGTTTCAATGTCAATGCTTTCGTCATTATTGTGATGGATAGACCAAGTTATGTTCACTTCTACTATATTTATTTATTAAATATATATTTATTAAATTCTACAAAAGTGATAATCTACTTTATAACATTATAAGCAATTAAATTTATTTTCAATAAATTATTTTAGATGTCTTTTATATCTACTATTATTTACTTCTTAAATAAATTGATTAAATATAATTGATTTTTTATTCCAAATGATGGATCGATTTACAATATTAACTCAGATGCACGATGTTAACAAAGTTTTTAAAAAAGTTCAGTCAATGAAACATCAATAAATCTTAAAAACCACTTTAGGCTCATTTTTTATAAAATATTTTTCATAGAATATATTCGTAGAGTAATAAGACACTGATATGTAAAAAATAAAGAGTACAATTAAAAAATATTTTGATATAAATTCAAACTGTATCTCGATTATTCTTCCAAAATTAATACGTGAACTTATTCAATTTAGTAAGTATGAACCTTTTATACAAACAAAAATATCTCGACATCATTACGAAAAAATAAAAAATAAATTAAAAACAAAATAACAATAACTTCAATTGAAATTGTATTTATATTAAATACAATGTAAACCCTTTCACTCTGCATATGCAAGTAGTCAGTGCACATATACATATGAGTACTCATATATATGAGTACTTGAATACATAAATTTAAGTAAATCTAAGTAAAAGACAAATCAATAATACCAAAATGCCCCCACAAAAAAAAAAAATGAAAGAAAAAACATGGAAGACAAAAAAAAAGGATTGGCGAGAAAAGTTTTGGTGGGTATTTCTCTAGAAAACCTTTATATTAACATTTTCAATGTTATATTTTAATGTTTTGTCAGATGATAGTTATAAGCAATATTGAAAAGATCTTCATAAAACTTGAGACTGATTGTTCATAAGGTTGAGCAATGAAATGAAAAATGAATTATTTAAAATATAATATTGTTTATATTGTAATATTGTTTAAATGAATAGTTTATTTTATCTTTTATATATATTAATAATATATACATACAAAAAAATATTATTTGCTCTATAATACGAAATGCTATTTATCGAATAATAACTAATAAATTTAAAAACATTTAGAATTAAAAAATCAAATATATAATTGATTAGAAATTTTTTTGCTCCATTAAGCAATGATGAATACCAGTGACAGCCCATCTAGCAAGAGGCGCTGCTCAGTTCGGTCTAGTAAGTAAGTCCATTGTATAAAAACATTTTAAGGAAAACCAGAAATCTCGGGGTTAGATAGATTATACGAAAATTGTGTGTGATAGAAAATTCTTTTGCATGCATTTTTCGTGTTATCTTGCGAAGATTTAGATATAGATATTTGGAAAATAAAGTAAAAACAATTAAAAAATAATTTTAAAAATAATAAAATATTTTTTTTAAACACTATACATATACCATACATTCATACATAATTTTCATAGCTGTTAAGTCGAAAAGAAAAAGAGTCCTATATATGATATTATTAGGAAACATGTTATACATACTTATTAATTAAAAATATAAAAATTTATTCAGAAATTATATCTCAAACATTCTTTATGTAAGCCATTTATTTAATATAGTTTTCTATTATTCTTTGATTAGAGGAACGTTCTAAAATTCTTAATGTTATTACTGCTTTCAAGTTTATATTAAATTTTTATAAGTTTTATGTTAAATTTGATAACTAATGGTAGATTTCAACTTTTCAGTTTATTTATAAACTATATAACAATGTACCAAAATTCTTACCATACAGTTATTAATCATATATATCAAATATTCCCTGATTCCCTGATTTACTTTCAACTATTATTCCTTTATTTTTGAAAAAAGAATGTTCAGATGATTTTTAATGAATCTCTGAGAATAAACATAACTTTTATTTAAGCAATTTTAAATTTTAATAAATTGTTCCTTAAATTAAAGTATCAAAAGTAATCATTTATAACCCATATATAATCTTTACTAAATATGTAAAAGCTCTCTAGTTAGCTAATTTATTATTTATTAAATAAGAATAAATACGTCAGGTCAATTTAATTGTGGTTATATGTATAGAATAGAATAAAATGAAGATAATTATTGGAAAAAGGAAATTGAAACTGTTTATTTAATTATAGAAAAGAATAAAAAAGTAAGCGTGCTAGAACAGAGCCTCTTAGAAATGAAAAAGACAACTTCTATATACTTCTCAAACTCTAAACTAAGTCTAAGAACTAGTTTCTAAGCTAGATACGCTTTCCTTAATTGCCAATTTCCATGTTTGATAAAAGGATACAGGCACCTGCAAAATCTGTGAAATCCAAAGTAAAACATCTGACAATGAATAACGGGTTCAGTAACTGTTTAGCAAAAAGAAGATGAACATGCATTTCGCTTTTATTGAACTGGAATAGTCTGATGCCTGGAATAAATATAAATTTTAATACCACGATATATTTAGTAATAGTTTATTTTCTCCAGTAACAACTTTATATATTTTTCCAGTAACAACTTTCTCCAGTAGCTTACCACAATCGCGGTGTACCGGTCTGTCTATATCACAGATACAGAAAGTAAATACAACAAAATACTTTCAAACGTGAAGAGTTCTTCTTTACGAAAATAATGAGAAAAAGTTCCAACCATAAGAGAACCATGTGAAATATAGTCGCAATATATTGATTTAAAAGTTAAAAAAGTCATATTAGGTATATTTACTATATATTCCAAAAAAAATATATATAAAAAGTCAATAATTTCATTTTCTAACCATAAGAACTAACTTAAATGCTCTGATGCAGGGCGATACTTATGATAACTCATTATATTAAGCCTTTAACTGATTTATTTTTTTTAATAATTTGTATATAAAATATAATTTAATAATAAAATTAAATAAATGTTATTCTAAAATGAAGAGATTTAAATTAAACATAATTTCATGTTAAAATAATATCACTTTGGGAACAAATGTGTCCTTTAAATGTTAGATCTATTGTGAATAAAATCATAAGAAATTGATTTCATTTTAATTATATAATATGGATGAATTTATTATCCATACCCGTTTTCCTCAAATATTTTATTATTGTAAAAATTTTAATAAATTGTAAATAAAAAGGAAGATTAGGAATTATGTATTGTACATATGAAATACCTAAAAACCATTTAATTAAGTAATTAAATCAGATAATAAAATAAATGACCCAATTCATTAACAAAATGAAAAAATAAACACTCCCGATATTGAGTTAATTCCTCTAAATTACCAACTAAGCCCCTTAATCAACTTTATGAGTATTAAAGTATTATCTAAAAAAATAACAAATAAGAAAGAAACAAGAAAGCCGAAGTGCCAGATAGCTGCACTTAAATAATAAAAATAATTTAAAAAACATTACAGCAGAAAAAAAAAATTTCTCAAAAAAAAAAAACAGAACATAAGTTTTAAGTAAAAAAATAACGAAAATCTTATAATTCTGAATATAATAATTACTTATCATATAAGAACTAAACAAATGAACTCAATATTAATTTTAAAACTAAATATATAATGAAATTATCTTTTTTTAGATGCTTTAAATTTGATTTTTTTTTGTCAGAATTGAGTTGTGTTTATTTTTTATAATATTAAAATAAGTTTTCTATTTAAATTAATATTAGATAAAAGTAAATGCACGGACTAAGACTAATCAAGAAAATATATTTATATAATAACAAAAGTTTAAATTTTTGTTATAACCAAATATATTTTTATGATGTTTATTTTTATTATAACGAAATATATTTTTACTTATCATATAAAAAAATCTGGTATATACTTTAAATATAATTAAAGTTTAATATATATTTATATGTATGTGAATTTTGAATAAAAAAAAATAGTATTCGAAACATTTTAAATTATTTTACAATTTTTTTTATATGTGTATTAAATCTATAATAAAAATTAAATCAAATTAATTTTTATAAATTTTTAAATATTTTAAAGATATAGAACTTTCTGGCTGAATTGCATACAAATAGCTGAACCAGGACTTTTTTTCAAATTTTCATTTTAATACTTTTTCTTTTTTTCTTTTTTCTTTTTTCTTTTAAAACTTCTTAAAATTTTTTTTGCTCATATACACAGTTTTAATAAAAGATTTGCAGGTCTTGCAGGTCTTGAACTTAACAGTTTGATGTTAGATGGTAATGAATAGTTCTCAAATGTGAAATCTCATGAGATTTTTGAAAAATCTCGAAGAAACCAAAATCTATTAGAAACTGCTATCAAGAGCCTCATAAAAGAGAATTTAAAAATATATTGTTTTAGAAATACAGTTAACTGTGAAATCAACAATAGATATATGACAAAAATCTTTACTCCTATTAAAACTAAAACGCTAGAAGTTTTCCTTTTCTAGTGATTTACGATAGCATCCTTTTAATAAAATATGTGAATATCTAGTGGTCCTATGAGTAATTTATGTTGAATCCGTTACCGATTCACTCTTATACCTGACCTAATACACATTTTCTTTAATTAAATTCTCTTGACATGTCCTTCTGCTACTATTGAATAAAAAAAAACATATTTACCTTTTAACATAAATAATTGTAACCATGTTCCAGAGAAAAATATTAATCCTTAGAGTCCTAATTAGTTTGTAAATTGTTCTGTTAATCCAAAAATTGTATGTAGTATAGAGTAGCTCTGTTTTGACTTCAAATTGAATATATTCTTTTATTAAATTTGTGTTTAAAATTATATTTTTAGTATTATATATAATATATTATAAATTTGATTATATATTTTAAATTTC